GGATTGCTCATCCAGAGGGGATGGGGATGGATCCAAGGGGCTGGAATAGTCAGGATTGCTCATCCAGAGGGGATGGGGATGGATCCAAGGGGCTGGAATAGCCAGGATTGCTCATCCAGAGGGGATGGGGATGGATCCAAGGGGCTGGAATAGCCAGGATTGCTCATCCAGAGGGGATGGTGATTGATCCAAGGGGCTGGAATAGCCAGGATTGCTCATCCAGAGGGAATGGGGATGGATCCAAGGGGCTGGAATAGCCAGGATTGCTCATCCAGAGGATGGTTTCCTAATTCCAGGGGTTGAACTCCAGGATCCTTGTGGCTCCTTCCAGCTCAGGACATTCCCTAATCCCAGGGGTTGAACTGGACATCCTCTAATCCCAGGAATAACCTTTGATATTCCCCAAATCCCAGGGGTTAAATTGGATATTCCCTAATCCCAAGAGTCGAACTGGACATTCCCTAATCCCAGAGATTACACTGGATATTCTATAATCCAAGAGATTACCCTGGATATCCTCTAATCCCAGATTTTACTCTGGATATCCCCTAATCCCAGACCTTGCTCTGGACATTCCCCAATCCCAGGGGTTACCCTGGACATTCCCTAATCCCAGGGGTTACCCTGGACATTCCCTAATCCCAGATTTTACCCTGGACATCCCCCAATCCCAGATTTTCCCCTCGTTCCCAGACGTTCTACTCGGCCATCGTGGAGCTGTGTGACAACGGCGGGAAGCACCCTGGACATTCCCTAATCCCAGGGGTTACCCTGGACATCCCCCAATCCCAGGGGTTACCCTGGATATCCCCCAATCCCAGGGATTACCCTGGACATCCCCCAATCCCAGGGATTTCCCTGGACATTCCCCAATCTCAGGGATTACCCTGGACATTCCCTAATCCCAGGGATTTCCCTGGACATCCCCCAATCCCAGATTTTCCCCTCGTTCCCAGACGTTCTACTCAGCCATCGTGGAGCTGTGTGACAACGGCGGGAAGCACCCTGGACATTCCCTAATCCCAGGGGTTACCCTGGATATCCCCCAATCCCAGGGATTACCCTGGACATCCCCCAATCCCAGATTTTCCCCTCGTTCCCAGACGTTCTACTCGGCCATCGTGGAGCTGTGTGACAACGGCGGGAAGCGCCCTGGACATTCCCTAATCCCAGGGATTACCCTGGACATCCCCCAATCCCAGGGGTTACCCTGGACATCCCCCAATCCCAGATTTTCCCCTCGTTCCCAGACGTTCTACTCGGCCATCGTGGAGCTGTGTGACAACGGCGGGAAGCGCCCTCCCCCTCCCGGCGGGGCCGGCCTGGCCTTCACCAAGGAGCAGGCGGACGCCATCCGCAGGATCCGCAACAGCAAGGACAGCTGGGACATGCTGCAGCTCAAACCGGGAG